TGAGCATTGAAAGAGCTCTACACACAGACAAAGATGCTGCCACTTCAAAAGGCTCTAATAGATGCTAATGACCAGTATATGGAGTTAGGACCCTTGTAAGAGAAGAAAAGGGACAAAAAAGCAAAAGCTTAGATGATGCTTTTTACAGCCCTTCACACAGAAACTTCCATTACTCCCAATCAATTCCATAGCTTTCAGTTTGGGCTTGTGGGGGTCCCCTAGTCCCTCTGGCCCCCTATAGAGTTATTTGCCTAAACCTGAGACATTTCACACCTATCATACTCCTATCAATAGACCACATTAACATCTGCCCTGAGTCCTAGGTGAGCTGAGGATATCGCTATGCTTGTTTAACCCTTTACATAATAGACAGACCATTGAATACAGCTGGCTCAATGAGACATTATACGGGGTTGGCTATATGTTGGGAATATTCAGTCATGTAACAGGTCAGGTTCCCTACATTTTTATTATTAAGATTATTTATAAACCTCTGCCCCTTTTTAATATATCTCTTAAAAACACAGGATTGCTATCTAAAGCTAACAGTAGTAGCATTACCGCAGGTTCTATCATCACATAGTAATGCATTCAAAACAGAAAAGTCACTGAAATAAAACAATGAAAATCACCTCCAATCTGTGCTAACTTTATTCATGTGTGGTAATTATTATTTTTTTAGATTTTTTTTTTTATGATGGGCAAGTTCAGACAATGTTACAATACCAATGCAGAGTTATAGAATCACATAAAGAAAGAAAAAACAGAACAGTAACATTAGAACTGATAGATAAAAAATCAGACTGAACGGAAACATGGCAATAAGCAGTGATCTCTTCGAGGTCAGTCTGAGGCAATGTTTCATATTTTCATATTAACATTTTTGCAATGGACGTCACAATTCAGTTCCGTCCAGGTACAGCCAGGGCAAAAGCAATTAAAACATTGTTTGTTTCCAATCTGCAAATAATGTGTTGTATGACAGAAAAAGACAGCACTTCTAAAAATGACTGACGTGGAGTCAAGATAGAGCTGTTCAGTTCTCTAAGAGACGTGTGGACTTCTACCATTTATTTTATTCAATAAAAAGCACTACGTTTTTATTATACTATTACAAATGCATCAATTTACATAAACAAAAGAAAAAAAAACTATTTCAACAAATGTGTCAATGTTCATTACAAATAATGAAAACAAAAATAGATAAAACCAAAAAATAAAAGTTTATGCTTTCTGGCTTACATTCTTTAAGATATCCTAAAAAATGACATCATCCATCTTTGTTTTATCAATATCGTCACATAGAAAACGTTATTATTATTATTATTATTTTTAAAGCGCCAACAAGTTCCGTAGCGCTGTACAATGGGTGGACTAACAGACAAGTATTTGTAACCAGACGAGTTGGACGTACAGGAACAGAGGGATTGAGGGCCCCGCTCAATGAGCTTACATGCTAGAGGGAGTGAGGTAATGTGACACAAAAGGTAAGGGTAGGGTAGAAAAGTAAGTTGTTAGAATAGTGTTCATTGAGGGCTTAATGTTTTGTTTTGATGACAGTTTCAGGAGAGTTTTACACAAGACCGATATTAAGAAGATCCGCAGCATTGTAAACAAATACATTATTATTCACATTTGTGCACTTTATATCAAACGTAGTAGTTTATTTATTTAATATTTTCAGTATATGTAAGTATTCACTAATCTGTGTATTGCAATTTATTTTTATAATACACAAGATCCAGTGCACTCACCTATCCACTAAACAGCAACTTCAATGTTGAAAGATTTTATTTGGTTTTTTTTTTAAAAACACCTAATCTAGGCAAAAATAATGGGGGTTTAGTTACATTATATGATCATCATTTATGCATGTTCAGGTTAGTGCAGCCAACCCCCTCTTGTTTTATATATATATATTTGGGAGTCTAGCCAACTCCCTGTTTTGCACCCCTCCCTGTCACAGGTGCCTCATCCCAGGGCCCTATTTAGTCTTGTACTGCAGAGAGCCCCAGATGGATTTTTTCCCCCTATGTAAGTGGGTTAATCTCATAAGAGCAGACATTAGGCTGTTAGTATAGGACCTGCCAAAGATGGGGTACATTGACGTTGTGGCAGGCTTATGCAATGTATGATCATATAATGTAACTAAACCCCCATTATATTTTGCCTAGATTAGGTGTTTTAAAAAAAACAAATAAAATCTTTCAACATTGAAGTTGCTGTTTAGTGGATAGGTGAGTGCGCTGGATCTTGTGTATTGTATTATTTGGCCGCCAGCAGCACCCCATTTATGCATGTTCAGGTGCGTGCAGCCAACCCCCTCTTGTTGCAATTTATTTTTACCATGTGGACCAAAATACCTGAATTGCCATAATTATCCACGTTGGTTATAGTGCCTCGATTTTGGTCTAAAGTTTACCGTTTCTGGTAATTTCCCAAAGAGTCATGGTTTAGAGAATAATCCTGATTACATATTTATTACAATTTATATAAAGTAATACAGGGAGGGAGGCAGGAAATAAAGACATAAAAGGTAAAGGTTAATCAATCATTCTATAATTATTTTAAAACGTGATATCAAATTTGAAAAATATATCAAGTAAATAGTAACTTGTAAATAAACCTTTCTGGTAATGGACTTTTCACAGCTCCAAAGTTGAGACAAGAGAGGTATGGGTGTTACAATTTGTATCAAATGAGCTACAGAACAGACAAAGAATTTACTTAGTTATGGAAAGAAATAGGGGATGGATGGATGGATCGGTGGATGGGTGGACGGATGGCTTATTAGTTCTCCTCCAATGATTAAATTAAGACGTCAAACAGATTGAAACATTTCAATCGATGGGATTGACAGGCTATATCAGCACTTTTTAATCCTTACTATATCCAGGGAGATTTAACCATATAACATGATTAACCCTTCACCAGCTGCGTCAGCTACAAACCAAATGTTCTCCTCTGCTGGGTTCTCCAATGTGGAAAAGTAAATTGGGACGAGAGGCTAAACTCTTCCAAAAGTCTGTTTCCTTTTTACTTGTTATCTCGTAGTCACTGTTTGTGTAATAGGCTTACTATACAAGGGGGCTCACTGTCACTTTGATGTCTCTCACAATAATGTATCACTGCGTGGAACAAAGGGGGGATTTGGGGATAAACTAATATCCTTCTGGTATTGCCTTCTTAGGTTCTTTAACACTCTCTATCACTCCAAATGTATATTTTATATATTTGATTCATTTTATTTAGTTTTTATCAGTCTTTACCAAAAAACATAATTATATCAAGATCAGGATACTTTCTTTGCTATAGATAGGTGCTCCTAATCTCTGTATTAGTACATCATTTTTAGATACACGCAATATCCAGCTATTCTACAAATGCTTGGGGGCTTCTCTCATGGATAGGGATCTGTAAAAGAGTGGATTGGCAAATTTCGGGCCAAAAGAACTAAAAGGGAAAATAATCCAATTTAAAATTAAACAGAACCATCAACAGTTACTGAATAAAAAGAAATAAACTGCATGCAAAACATTATTATTTTTATTATTTATAAAGCCCCGACAAATTCAGCAGCGCGGTACAGTAGGTGGAGTAACAGAAAAGTCGTTGCAACAAGACAAGTTGGACGTACACGGACAGACGTTGCTGAGGTTTCAGTTTACATTCTGAGGGGAGTGGGGTAAAATAACACAAAAGGTAAGGGTAAGATGTATTTCATGTCATCGAAAAGTAGATTGCTAGAAGAGTTGACAAAGAAGACTTTTTTTAGATGACGCAGTTGCAGGAAATAAAGTGGGCTAGTGAGGTGTGGGGAGAGAAAGCTGTTAACGGTTTCATTTATATTCCTTCTTGAAGAAGTGAGCTTTCGGTGATTTTTTTTTTCCCAAGGAAAAGATTCTAGATGAAAAAAGCCACTGAAAAACATATACAGATATACAGATATACATTTACACTTATATACAAATATTATATATATACGTCCAAAAAGTTTACGCTCCTGCTATATAAAGTTATGCCTGGTGTTAGGGCAGAAAAATATACAGAATACAAAAATTGGCAGCACTCCAAGGACTTAAAGAAAGGGTAGTTCAGTTGATACGTAACTTTTAATCGTACATCTTAAAAACAGAGAGTCAACGTTTTAGTTCCCCCAGTGGAACTTTCACCAGGACATGTGCAAATCTATATATTATACCAATAAGGCCCATTTTACAGTATATGTGTGCTCCCATTGCCTGCTAGTCTGGCAGAGTGTATAAAGGGGGAAATATACACGATTTACAATCCTGCAAAAAAATCACGAAACAAAAAAATAATTTAAACCGGCAGGTATTTTCGGCATGGTATTTTCATGCGCTCTGCCACAGGGACATTTTAGTTATTTCAGTTTAAGTTTTTGCAGCAGTCCGCTACACGAACTCCAGAAGAGCACAAGCAGATTTTTTAAATAAATGTGTAATGTGGAGTTCTTGTACACATTACTATAAGTTTTTATTGCTGTGTTTCTCACATTAACTCTCTCCATTACACATCCCTTTTCTCATTCTGTTTTCTTCCTTCCATTAAAAGTTTCTCCCTCTATTTACCCCTTTTCCCATTCTTTCTATCAAGCTCTCCATATCGTGACCTCTCTTTCTCTCTATCAATCACTCTCCAAATCAGTATATTTGCCTCTTCGTTCTATGTTCACCACATATTTCATTATATCCCCCCTACTTGGAGTATTGTATGCAGTACTGGAGACCGTATCTTCAGAAGGATATTGATACCTTAGAGAGGGTTCAGAGAAGGGCTACTAAACTGGTTCATGGATTGCGGGATAAAACTTACCAGGAAAGGTTAAAGGATCTTAACATGCATAGCTTGGAGGAAAGACGAGACAGGGGGGATATGATAGAAACATTTAAATATATAAAGGGAATCAACACAGTAAAGGAGGAGACTATATTTAAAAGAAGAAAAACTACCACAACAAGAGGACATAGTCTTAAATTAGAGGGACAAAGGTTTAAAAATAATATCAGGAAGTATTACTTTACTGAGAGGGTAGTGGATGCATGAAATAGCCTTCCAGCTGAAGTGGTAGAGGTTAACACAGTAAAGGAGTTTAAGCATGTGTGGGATAGGCATAAGGCTATCCTAACTATAAGATAAGGCTAGGGACTAATGAAAGTATTTAGAAAATTGGGCAGACTAGATGGGCCGAATGGTTCTTATCTGCCGTCACATTCTATGTTTCTATTTAACTTATTTTATTCTTCCTTTCATTCCCAATCTCCCTTTTTTTCCCCATCTCTTATTTTCTCTTGTTTTCATTAACCCATTAATCTCCGTATCTCCATTAAGCAATCAATCCCCCCATAAGTTATTCATTATTTTTCTTGCTGTCAAGTGAGCAGTGCTTGTTAGCAGGAGTGAAAGAACGAAGGGCTAACGTGTGTTTGTTTTAATCACAATTTTTTAGTTCAAAATAGCCGAGCCGCAGATAAAACCGCATTTAATAATGTTTACAATTTAGAGATTTTAACCTACAATGTGTCATTTGTGTCATTTGCTTATGAATCCCCCACAAGATTGTGAATAAATATATTTCAAGATCAGTTAACTATGTTGGCATTGTCTAGGAGAGTTCTATATTTGGAAACACTCCTGATACCACAGGTAACAATGAAATACCCATGTCTTTGATTACAACGGCAAGTTGCGTATGTTCAGACATTATGTATTTAATACTGGGTATCATACCATTCCAACACATATTATAACCTGCTCCTTTCCTCACTCTCTGTGTATTGTGATGGTTTCATATAAAGATATAAACGCCACTGGAAGCTTTAATATCCAGTGAATTAGGAGTTCCAAACCCTGTGCCCATTGAAGTGGCATTAGTGCATTCATGATGGGATATAATCCCCTGCACTCCGTTTCATTATCTGTGCTCCCTTTCTGTAGGTCCTTTGCTCTCTCTGGACCACTGCTGTACCATTGTCCCTTGTTAATTGGGATGTTAATGAGTTAGAGAGCTTTCCTTTGCAGGTTCCCAGACTGCTGTACCCTGAGGCTAGACATCTACAAAGAGATGACAAGTTGCAGCCAGTGAAGCAGCCTGATCACATCAAGGCAGTTATGCTGGATTTCTGCTTCTCTCAGCGCCCCCTCTCAACAATACAAATATGTCCCTAATTGTTTGTGGAAAGAAGGAATTTTAGGCTTCTCAGTAAAGTGCCCTGGGGAGAGGTGTAATCCTAACAAGTAACAATATCACAACTGTAGCAGTGTCATTCACAGAAATGTCATGTACGATCTAGAAGAACAATTAGAAAAACAAGTGACATGTCCATGGATCTTATCTTAGAAAAACATGTGACATGTCCATGGATCTTATCTTAAAATAAACTTATTCTACGTGACTAGGTAGACTCAATGTTTCCATATTACATGCTTATTGGGAAAGACAGCTGTCTTCACCAGGTGAAAATGGTCCATTTTTATGTATTAGGAGCAATTCTGGGGCAAAGTTCTTAGAGAGGAGCAATTTTCGTTGAAACCAATGGAATGTTCCCACTGATCGCTCTACTTGCAGAATTCCTACCTAGAATTTCTCTTTATAAATATTTGTTAAGACCAAAAGAACACTAAAAGTTATTCTCTTATTTATATGAAATTAATAAATACCGATCCACAAGCTTTACATCTTGGTTTTCCTTTAATGGAGATGCAGAGCATTGACAGGTGGCCAACATCATGGACTCACCAGTAGCATCTAGTAGCAGACATTCAGACCAATGATTTGATTACACAAATAGTCATAGAGATCCACCTTTCTCTCATCTGCTCTTGTTGATCAAAAAGAAGGCAAAGAACCCAGTTTGAAGCACTTCCTAATCTTGCAACAAACTAGGAAAATCCCTTTCTACTTCAAGAATGGCAGTCAGATTGCTACTTGGATTAAGAAGTTGTTATCCCATATATATCCTGAATATTATGTTTTACAAGTATACATCCAGTTACTGTTTAAAAATCTGTCCCGAATATGCTAAAACCACCTCTTCAGGCAGATAATTCTAAATCTTTATTGTTCTTACCGTAAAGAACCCTTTCCTTTACTTTACACTAAATCTCATTTCTTCCACTCTAAATAGGTGAACTGGTCTCCTAACCATAATTCTATTCATAATTCATAATTCTATTAATTCCAAACAATGGATTGCACTGAATACATCTGTATAACGTTATTATATTCCCTCTTAGGTACCTTTTTTTCTAAGCTAAACATATTTAAATTTGTAAGGCTTTCTTTATAATTAAAATCTTCAGTTTCCCTAATTAATTTTTCTTGTGTCATAATATCCTTTCTTAGAACACATGACTAAAATTGCACAGCAATTACCATTGATTTATAAAGAGGCAAAATTAGATATTTGTCCCAAGAATTAATTCCCTTTTTTATACATGATTCTACCTTACTGGCCTTATCAACTGCTGATTGACATTGCACATTGTTGCCTAGTTTGATGTCTATAACTATCCCCAAATCATTTTCATTAATTATTTTTTCTAACTCATTACCATTTAGGGTGCACATTGCTTGTGGGTTTCTAACCCCAAAGTGCATAATTTTGGATTTATCTAAATTAAATGTAATCTGCCAAATAATTCTATTTCTTCACTGGATGTCTTCTTAGCAAACCAGAATCTCAAGAGTGGTAGCTATTGCAACAATGAATTGCTGTATTGGGGAATAAATATCACTTTATAATTATTATGATCATTTTTGTCAACAGAAGATGTCCTCATCAGTACTCTATAGACCTGGTTCTTAAAGGTTACTCCAACCACCATGACCATCTCTGCTTCTAGAAGTGGCCATGGTGGTAGCAGTCTGTATGTGCAGCATTTATGCTTAAAATGCCGCACATACTGAGATATCTGTTGCTGAACTCCAGGCTGCCTAATGTCAATTCATTGCAAAAATTACATCAGGGTATGCAGAGGACTGGCGGCAGCCACAATGTACTTCTCCCTGTGCAGCCCTGCCTGCATATGGGAAACCATGATCTCTCCTCCCTCTGTGCGGACCACCATGCCTCCATGCATTGATTGTAATTGATTTTTTTTCATTCCCTCTCTTTCTTACCTGGCTCAGAGCATGCGCATGCACGCTGAACTTAAAGGACAATCCAATCAATGAGAAGCATTTGAACAGGCTTTGTGAGGTAGGCAGTGACATTGATGGAGGTGTGGAAACTAGCACAGGGAGCTTCACCCAGCACTGGATGACAGGTAAGCTTATTGCTTTTTTTTTTGTGCAGAATTATAGAAGGAACCTTCTTAATAATACCCAGTACAGCTTTTTAAACTAAATGAAAATATTTTATATAAAGGGTTAGCATAACCATTTAATACGATGGACATGTGATTATGGCATCAGGCCTTCAATATTCAGAGTATAATAACAGCACGAGATCGTTTCTATAGACGGAAAATGTGACTCATGAAAAAGTCAAATTGTGGACAAAAAAAACAAAAACATAATTTTCTAAATATTCAATCTGCCATTAATTGGCTTCATCAGTGAATTTTAATCATTTTGTTTTGTTCTCTGCTACAGTGGATTGTTGAAGAGTCCGTTTCTATCTCAGAACACAGGAAAACCAGTCAATATCCAGAGGGATGTTTGATCACATGACAATCATTATTGGCTTTTTGGGCTCTGTGAACTGGAAATTAGAAATATAGCAAATTCTTAATGATTTCATAAATGAAAGATATGATTCATTGTTTCACAAAACATTGGATCATTAATGTTTTCCTTGTGTGTCACATTTAAATATATTCTCCACTCACCTTTGACTCTCGCTCTCCAAGACTTCATTAAGGCTACACTGTTCCTACAGAACTCCCTTCCCCGCCCAATAAGAATCCCCACCAGTGTCCATTCCTTCGTAAAAATCACGGAAAACTCACTTATACAAACATGAATAACAATTAAACTGTAGATATTCTTCTACCCACACTTCACTAACCCTATTCACTTCCTCTCCTTCAACAGCTTCATATAAAGATTTAACTTTATTGTGAACTCTTCTTGCAATCAATTTTGACTACATATAAAATGCAATTAATCTTGACCTTGTTTTGTGATTATACCTAACTCACCGTACAATGTAGAGGGCTATCTCATTCTGTTCCTGAATGCCCAGCCTGTCTCTTTTGGGTTAATATTATAAATGAAAACATATGTGATTATATTGGAGACAGAACCACTTGATGTGATAACATGTGATTTTAGTTTCAATCCCATAAACCTGCTATTCACCAGTTAATGTGTTTGATAGAGTTGACATATCCATGACTGTAAGCTTGGATCTTCATCAACCTATTGTCCCTGTCAACATTTGTTTGCCTCATTTATTAGTTATTCGTTAAATCCCTCCCTTTATAGTGTTGCTAAGCACTGCGAATAAGTTGACGCCACATGAATGTCAATAATAATAATAATAATAAATGGTCAAAAATGTATATGAACTTTTATTGTGTTCATGGCTGTCTATGCATTAACTAAAGATGTCCTGTGTCTCACCATATATTTTACAGCACTGTGGAATATGTTGACACTTTGTAAATAATTAAACGCATGATCCTAGAAGCATGTCAGTTTCCGCCACTCTGAGACACCTGGGGTCTAGTACGGCAATCTGTTATCAGGTGTACTGCATATATTTTCCGGGACTGTGGAATTAGTTATTTAATAGGTTGTCAACATGATTGTGTATCCTCATACTATAGGCAGCAATGATTCTTCATACAAATTCTGTCCGGTTGCTCCTCCAGAGCTGATATTCTAAATTACCAGTTATGCATTGTGTTGAAAGCTGATTATAGGTGAAATATCCTCTGTAAAGTGCCTACAAATCCATTTAACCTTAGATCTTGTCATCTCTATAGGACAGATGTCCATCTGCATTGTGAATCCCGGACAGTCAGTGGCAACCATTAAGCAAGCTTACATTTAAAGGCATAGGCTCCCATGACAGACCCTTTAACCTTTCTCGTAGGTTATAAAGGGGCAGCTCATTTCCTAATCTAAACTCTCCCCCGTGGATCAGAGCAGAAGTCTGCAAGGAGACTAATGAAAATAAACTTCTTTCTCTCTCTAACCCCTGTCTCTGGCATTTTGGGAAGTTTGTGAACATTGA